TTGCTGATGACGCTAAGCAATTGCTTCACTTCTCTGGGCTTGGATGTTTTAATCACTGTAAAATAAGAATAATAGTACCACCATGGGGCTATTGTGAGGACTGCAAAGATCTCCACGTGCAAGAACTTACTTGTAACAGTTGTCCAATACACTGTTGCTAATATGTTATTTCCAGAGTGTGAGGCTTGTATACAGGGGTCTGCAAGGTAGGGAGGGGTCCTGTGCAAAATTTATAAGATTTCTGCCTCCCCAGTTTATATCTTAACTCTTCCTGCCCATTCTGCAGGTGTCCAAAATGGCCTTTCATCGGCCCCAAACTTCTGGGCAGTCTTTGTTGCCTCCTGCCATTTACCAAGGGGCAACTTGGAGCCAAGGAGTCCGCACTCCCGCTGAGGCGGGTATGATCCCCATTTTACTCACACTGCAAGTTGAGGTTTGGGGCAGTCAGGAGAAGTCCCGTAGAAGACAAGCCTGTCTGCCTGCCCCTGGGGGGAGGCGGCTAGAGTACCCAGGCCCTGAGTTCCACTGTTTGTCCAGTAGGGGCAAGAATGCAATGGGGAGAGCTCAGACCAAAGGGGGTGGCTCCAAATCTGTCCTTCCCCTTGAAAGAAAGGTGTGTCTGCTGCGTCTTTCCCCAATCGGGACCTTCTACCCAACTCAGTCCTACATGCCTGATCTCCAGAGTTCCAGCCCCTAACTGCAGGGACTGGGCAGTTACCCTCCAGTGCTGGAGCATGCTCCCCTGCTATTCATTCGTTCATTCATTCGTTCATTCATTCGTTCGTTCGTTCGTTTATTCACTCCTTCAGCCATTCATTCAATAGATATTACTGAGCGGTACCATGTGTCAGGCACTTACTTCCTACTGGGGAGACAGTAGCCAAGAACTCACATTCTAGTAGGAAGACAGACAATAAACCAAGCAGATCAACAAACGTGGAAATAATGTCAGATCAGCATAGATACTATGGAAAAAAACAAACCGGCAGACGGCACTGAACAGTAGCTAGGGTGGGGAAGAAAGGTCTCCCAGAGGAGGTGACACTGAGCACTTGGCCTTGACAAAAAAAGGCTTTTTCTTCAGCACTTTCCCTTCCCCAGCGGTGTGGGGAGCCCTCAAAAGGGGGAAGCTGTTTCCAGCCCTCAGAGGAGGAGTTGCCACAGGGAGAAGAAAGGGGACAGTCATGATGTGGCTGCAGGGGGTGGGGGTGCAGGACCTAAAGCAGAGGGCCCTGCTGACCCCCACTGTTCCTGGTGGCAGTGAAGTAACAGGAAGTACAGAGATGGCCAAGCCAGGGACGTCAAGAGCAGTCGGAGGAGCTTCAAGACCAACAGCAAGTCAGAGGGAGCTTTAGCTGCAGGAGAAATACCCTACCCGGAAAGCAGAGGCTGGGGCCAAAACCTGGCTTCAGTGCCCTCGGAGTTGCCAGGTGGCTGGTAACCTTCATTGGGGAAGTGCGTGGGAGGGGCTTGGCTTTCAGCAATGGATGGAGGGATGGGTGGGCTGATGGGTGAACAAATGACTGGACGCACACAGACAGAAATAACCCACTACACTTATTAGTGTTCTCTCCCGAAAGGTGTGTTTTGGGGGAAGGCACTTGGAAGAGGGGGTCAGTGACGGTTTTCATGAGGCAAACAACATGCCCAGCATGTTCTCACCTGGGTCACAGGCAAACCCACACCCAGGTTCATACCTCCTCACTCGGAAGCAAGTGCCCAATCTTTCTGAGTCCATCCATAAGATACAGCATAGAAAGGTAGCATTCTGGTTCTCATGATGGTTCCAAGGATGCAGGACGTCAATGCACCAGAGGGATGCCGGTTGAAGGCATCAAATGCCATACCCGCTTGGGTTTGAAATTCCCCAGGTAGCTGGGGAAAAGGCTGGAGAATGAGGAACTAATGAAATAGGTAATAAAAACCAGGGTGGGTAGGTGGTGAGAGGCAGGGCTTAAGGAAAGCTTCCTGGAACTGGGCAGGTTTTTTGCATTGAGAGCTTGCAGCAGCGCAGACATCACTGGAGAAGATCATGTCATTGCAACTGCACCTGTCTTGCACGCATGCATTTCGATGCGTCCCCTCATGTCTAGGCCTGGAATTGGAGGGGTGGGGGAGAAATAAAAGGTTTGCTGCCACGGCGCAGGGGCTTGTGGGCAGCTTCTGGGTGCACGGAACGCGGAGAGCCTGCTCGCTTGGCACTCCTTGGCAAAAATTCACCCCTAAGCCTCTGGACCACACGCTGTTTTTTCGTTCATTCATTCAACACACATTCTATGAGGACCTATGATGTGTCAAGTTTATAGTGAACAAAACAGGCCTGGTCCCTGTTCTGAGAGAACTCGCTATTCTTAGGCAGTCCCAGAGAGGTTGGCAGGCTCTTAATTTTGTCGCTTCATTCCTGAAGAGGGGGAAGGATAAAGGAAGCCAAAACCCCTGGAACTAGTATGGGAAGAGGCAGTGAATAGAAACCTGGGTCCAACAGCTCTGACTTTAATATTTTTTTTTCACAAATATTTGTGGGGCACCAAGCTTGGAAGACACTGCCCTCTAGGAACCTCTGACTAGTGAGGTCAAGATTCACATGGACATGGGCAACCAAGACAACAACGGGTCCGAAAGGAGCACCATATCCCACTGGGAGATATGGGGAGGCTTTCGGGAGGAAGGGACCCTAGCTGGACCCCAAATCATTTACAAGACAAAAGCACAGGAATGAGATTGGAGAATTCCAGGTAGAGGAAACCCCCAGGCTACTGCGCACAGGCAGGACTTGGCAGGTTCTGAGAACTGAAAGAAGTTGGCTGGACTGGAGCATTTGGGATGATGGAGGCTCATCCACTGTTTACTATCTGAGGTTGGGAAATGCAATGGTTTCTTTGAGTTTCAATCTACCCATCTGCAAAATGGGTAAGACAAGGTGAGTGATGTCACATTGTTGGGGGGGGTGGCAGGGGGAATGACCTGTGGATAGCTTCTGGCACAATAGGTGCTCAATAAATATAAGATGACGTATATCTGCGTGGCTTACGTCTGCGGGCCACAGAGGCACGGGTCCCATGGGCCGCGGGGGAGGGGTTCAGACCTGCGCACCCTTGGCCTAGGTTTTCGGAATATCTTTATTAACGAGCACTTCAAGGTAAGCCGCGATGGAAACCAGATGTGGGATCCAGCAGTCGGCGGCAGAGCAAGGAGCAGAGATACCAAGGGGGTGGGGTGGGGGTGAAGATTAGCCCAGCTGAGGTTGGGGGTAGAAGCACGACCCCCCAGGTATTTTTTCTTTGGGAGACCTTTGGTGCAGAAGATTGATTTCTGACCCTCATCCCTGGGTTCGTGGCGCTCAGGCACTCTCTCCTTTTACTTTGCCCCTTCACCTCTCACCCCATCCCCCGCCTCCTTTGAGGTAAATCCTCAATCCACGGACTTTCCCTGCAGTTTATCAAAAGCTGCTCTAAGTGGTCTCCTTCCAACTGAGTCATTCCCCAGTGGGAGACCCATTTCCTCTGCTTTTTGCGTTTTCGCTGTCCCCAGTGCCATCCCAGGACCGTGGAGGGACTAGCCCCAGCATGGGTTCCAAGGCGGGCCCCCGCCAGATGACCGCACCTCTCTGAGCCTCGGTTTGTTCATCTAAAATTGGGGACCCCAACCTCCACCCTTCACAGTTGTTGTGAGGCGGCGCAATCGATGACCAACCCTGGGGAAAAGTCTGGACGCACCCTAAAAGGTCTTCTCCCTTGCTGTGGCTGGTCCCAGTGCCCCGAGGCGCGCGCTGCCGAGGGAAACCACAACCCGTCAAATCCAAGCCATTGGTTTTACAGTGGGAGACAGTGAGTCTAGAGAGAGAAAAGGCTTCCTCACCCTTATCCCAAGCCATGAGCAGGTGACAGCGAGACGACAGGGCACAGCCAGCAGGTCTCCAAACTCCTCGCTCTCAACCTCGCGGACGGAAAACCCCCTGGGCTGGGTGCAGATGGGAGGAGAGCGCGGCTCTGTCCCAGGAGGGGAGGGAGGGGACCGAGCTCTAAAGCTTCCATAACCTGGCCCATCAAGGGCTTCTCTGGTGTTTGAGCGCACACAGGCCCCTCGACACCCTGCCCCAGCATCCATGTAGGGGAGGGAAATAGTTAATTAGACGGGAAAGTGGCTGAGCACAGGACTACCGCCTTGGGTGTGTGCTAATTTCGCAGAGGGACCGAGAATGGGGAAGAGGGGTTGGAAGCAGAGAAAGAGGCACTGGTGGGAAGGCCCAAAGCTGTGCCCACAAATTCGAAGGTCATTGTCCCAAGGACTGCACTAGGAGGCTAGCGACCCTTCTGACTCTGAAAGTGAAAACCTGTTAGGTATTTTTTGTTTCTTTTCTTTTCTCTTTTCTCTTCTTTTTTTCTTTCTTTTAATCTGTCCCTAAAGTTTTGCCTGCCTCCCTCCCCTGGGCCAAACCGTGGACCCGCTATTCTCAGCCTAGTTTCAGGAGTCCTAGGGCCGGGTCACTTCTCCCACCCGGCCTAGAATCGGAAAGGCCCTCGGGCGCCTCCGGGTTTAATCCCCAGCGAGCGAGTTAGTAGCATCTCCGTGAGAGAGAGGAAGGGAGGAGCAGGGGGTGTTAGGAGAGTAGGGAGAGAGGAGGGGTGGGGTGGGGGAAGAAGGAGAGAAGGAAGGAGAGAGTCAGGGGGAAAAAATTCACTCTCCCTCTTTTTTCACCCGCACTTCAAAATCTTAAGAGGCTTTGGGAGATCTGGTCAACTTTCCGAAACATCTGAATCTTTTTACAGCCCTCCGTTCTTTCCCTGGGCCAGCTGCGGGGAGGGAGAAGGAAGAGAGAGGAGGAGGGGGAGGAGAGAGAGAGACAGAGAGACAGAGAGAGAGAGAGAGACGAGAGGAGAGAGAGAGAGAGAGACGTGGAGGGAGGAGGGAGAGCGAGCAGGCCCGCGCGGAGCGCAAGGCCACCGCCTCCTCGCCTCCTCGCCTCCCCAAACTCCCGGGCAGGGCGCGCGGTGGCGTCCTCGCGCTCTCGCTCGCGCCCCCGCCCGTCGCCCGCGCAGGCCAGGCATGAATGCTGAGACTTGCGTCTCTTACTGCGAGTCGCCGGCTGCTGCCATGGACGCCTACTACAGCCCGGTGTCGCAGAGCCGGGAGGGCTCCTCGCCTTTCAGGGCATACCCGGGCGGCGAGAAGTTCGGCACAACTTTCCTCTCGGCCGCCGCCAAAGGGCAGGGATTCGCAGACGCCAAGAGCCGGGCCCGCTACGGCACGGGGCAGCAGGACCTGGCGGCAGCCCTGGAGAGCGGCGCCGGGGCGCGGGGCTCCTTTACCAAGTTCCAGCAGCAGCCGCCGCCGCAGCCGCAGCCGCCCGCCCCGCAGCCGCCGCCGCCGCCGCCCGCGCAGCCCCCGCATCTCTACTTGCAGCGCGGCGCTTGCAAGACTCCCCCGGACGGCAGCCTCAAACTCCAGGACGGCAGTGGCGGCCACAACGGGGCCTTGCAGGTCCCCTGCTACGGTGAGTGCACGTGCGGGGCGCTCGGGGCCGGGGCTCGGGGGCGGGAGGCAGGGCTCGGCGGGCCGGGGTGGCTCTGGGTCGGACAACGGGAGCCGACGGTTCCGAGGGGACCGTGGGATCGGTCCGGCCCCCTTCATCTCGCCACGCCGAGGGCTCGGAGCGGTTGTGGCTGTTAAACCCGCCCTGGGGCTTGTTTTCTCCCCGTCCTCGCCGGTTCCCCCGACCACTCGCTTTGCGCGGCTCGCGGGGCCGCCTCCGAAGCGGATGCTTCGCCCGGCTCGGGGCGTGCGGCGGCGAAGTGTGGCGGCGCGGCGCTCGGGCGCGGGGCTCCGGGGCTGCCGAGGCCTCGCTCCCCGCAGGCCTGGAGGCTCCCCGGGCGGTGCTGCAGGTGGGAGCGTCGCAGGTGCCGAGCCCGCTGGGAGCCCGGAGCGCAGTCAGGCTGAGCGCGCCCGGGGAGCCGCGGGTCGGGGACGCCGCACGGGTGCGGGGCCGCAGACGCCTGGAGCCGCCGAGGACCCGAGTTCGCCCCCTACACACACACACACACACACCCACACACACACCCACACACACACACCCACCCACACACACACACACACCCCGACAAGCGCGGCTCGCCAGGGAGAGGCAGGCCGGCTGGCGTTCGGAGCGATTCTCGCCCGGCGAACCTGGGAGGCGGCTGGCCTCGGAACAATGGTTTAGGACCGACCGGCAAGAAGGCAAGGAGCTGCAGAGTTCCAGGCAGCGCAATGCTGGGGGAAGAGGGAAGCTTCTGGGTCCTGATTTGGGCCCACAGGGAAAGCCGAGGCCTAAATGACCTCCAAGCCCCCTTGAGCTCGCAGGCAGGCAGGACATAGGCCTGGGCCCCCAGAGCTTAGCAACCATGATGGAGGGAAGGGCAGCCTGAGGCCAGAGCCGCTCAGGAGCCTAGGCCTTCTCGCCCACTGAATCGGGATTGACAAGCCCCAAGCTGGCAAAGAGAGAAACCCAGAAGGGAGGGAAAAATCTTCCTGGGCTAGGAGCCCTGGATACACTCTCCCTGAGGCCTTGGCCTTCAGGCAGGGCCCTGGAGATGAGCTGGTCCTGACACAGCAACAGCTTTGGCTGCACTGGTCCAGTATGGATGGAGAGACACCAAGACTGGGGACAGACATGGGACATGGTGGAGGCCTTGGTGGCTAGAATTGCCTTAGGAAAACAGCCCATGGCAGACACTTTCTTATATCCAAACTAGCTTTCCAGAGGCTCACAACTAGTTCATTAGGTGGTTGTTGACGCAAACATTTGCACAATCATAGACTTGACTACACACAACCTCTTCCTCATGAGCCAACAGAGTCACACACTAAATACACTCAGTCATATGGCCTCACACATAGTCACACACTCCCAAACCCACAGGACAGGACTGAGAGCAGATTTAGAAAGGTCCAGTGGCCTTTCCCCACTTCCACCGCCTTTCCTCTCCACCTTCCTGTGGGAATGAGATCAGGCACTCAGATCACAGACATTCACGGCCGCACACAGGTGCTCCTTCCCCACTCGGGCAGGCAGGGGTTGTCAGCTCCTGTCAGCAGGCATCCGCCTGCCAGGGCTGCAGACTCGCGCTCCCTCCTCCAGGCCTTACCCAGACCCCTCCTGGTCCCTGTTGCCAGGACTATTAGGTGGGAGCAAGTCTCAGACTGAGGGGCCCGTGGAGGTCCATTGTGCAAAGCCAGAAGCCTCATAGGCTTTCTCTCCCACTATACTGGATTTTCATGTTTTAAAGAAATCCACCAAAGAGGCTTCTGCAGAGGAAGAGACATTACATAAGAAGAGGTGCCAAGCTGCTTCCAACCTCTTGTTTGGCAGATGTCTTCAGGTCCAGGGAGAGAGGAAAGGGCTGGCCTCCTCTGGGCACTGTCTCAGAGCGCTGCTGGGCCCCCACACACCGGCCTGGCCCTTCCTCTAACTTGCATTAGCCGGTTGAGCAAGCGACTCCTCGAAGGCCCTTTTCCTCATAGAGGTAACTGCATCAGTGGGTGGTAAGTGCCCCCCCCACCCCACGCCAAGAAAGCAAAAGTCTAGTCTCCTCCAGGATTCCACCAAAAGCCTCTGTGCTGTTGGGAACCTGTAGACACTCAATTCTGAGGACAGGGCAGGCCCCTGCCCCTGCTCTGGGCAAAGCCCTAAGCTGCAGATTGGGACAAAAGGAGGCCCAGCATCAGCCACAGGACCACCACTCCCCTGCTGCCTGAGATGGAGGCACCGCTCAGGGCAAAGCCACAAACAACAAACAGCTCTGTTTATTCTTCTCCTAGCAGCTGAGCTTCCCTGGCCAGGAGGAGATTTCTGGCCCTTGCGGAAAGATTAGGCACATGAAGTCCAAGATGAGAAACCAAGGCACCAAGAGGTTAGGCTGTGCCCTTTACAGAGGCAGCTGGGAGGAGGGCCTCTGGAGTTGGCTCTGTAGGCGGCCAGCAAGCAGGGAAACTGAGGCACACGCTGGTGGCAGTTCTCTCCCACACTTGGAGAATGTGGACTCAAGAGGGGGTAAATGGGGTTCAAAGAAAAAGCCGGCCCCCGCGATCTGACTGCAGGTAGCTTGGACCTTGCAAACCTCCCTCCCGGCTCTTTTGGTCCCGGGGCTGGAAGTTCCGTTCTGGATCGGCGGAAGGGCACCGAATGGGGGGCGAGGCCCCGGAGACCTCCTCCGGGACCTCAGCCTGGGGAGCCACTCCCGGCGCGTCCAAGCGCCCCTGCGCGAGCTAAGCCCCCGCCTGGCGGGGTTGCGCCAGGGCCACGCTGAGCGGGCGCGCGGCGGGGAAGCCGCCTGCAGTCCCCGCGGGCCCGGCCTTCTCCTTCCCGGAGCTGCCGGAAGTGGAGGTGAGAAATCCTCTCAGTCCGCAGGCGTCCCTACCCCTTCCTGGGCCTCCGTTTCCCCCTCAGTACTAAAAGCTCGCCGAGCAAGCCGATGGGCAGTCAGTCCCCTCCGGGTGCAGGAGATGATTGCAAGTTTGGGAACGTGCCTCACGGTTCGCGCGTGCTGCAGTCACCATCTCGCCGGGCTCCCGGGGCGCACCTCGGCCTTGCGAAGTCCTTGCTGGTTCCTGGCCCCATGGGGGCCCGCCAGGTTGGAGACCCGACGTTTCTCCGCCGCACAAAGAGCCTCCTCGTCGCCAGAGTGAGGTCTCCCACGCCTCGCCGCCCCCCCTGAGCCCCGGGCAGCCGCCCCGAGCCCCCCCCCCCGCGGCCGCCGCTGCCCCAGGCCTCGGCCATGCGCCCCGGGAAGCTTCGGGGAGCAGCTCTGCTCCCTCCTTCTCTTTCGCTTTCGATTCGGTGCGCGCAGGTTTTCGTTGCTAGCCGCTGGCTACCTTGCCATCCACGTGCCCCCCCACTCCCCCAAAGAAGCGCTCACAGCTCAGAGGTCGCGAGATGCGCGGGCCGGGCCGGAGACCCCTGGGGCGCCGCCGAGGGGCTGGTCCTCATTTGTCGAATTAGATGCAGTGTTTGAAAGCTAAGGGTATTTATTCC